CTGAATCAAACGATGAGTTTAGGTCCACAGTCATTTGTCAATATATCTCCATATGCAAAGTGCTCTGTCTTTTTAAGAATAATATTCATTTTAGTAACAGGAGCTATAAAAAGCACTCCTTGAAGATACAAACACAATTCTGCATTTTCCAGTAAATAAAGGCATCACGTATTTTCAATGGATGAAAAACAAAGCTCTTTTTAATTTGTGTAAAATGCGCGAATGAAAATTTGTGGTTTATAGGCCCTCTGCACCCGATTGTTACTTAAGTACGTGTGCTTGATTTCTATTTTAGAAAAAAATAAATGTTGACAAGTGGTGGTAGGAAATTTTCTGGGCTGTTCGCAGGACACGCAACTTCCGATGATCAAAAGCGTACTCTAGAGTTATCAGAGTAGACATGAGTGGTCACTATGATATTGAGACTGTATAAGCAGAGTTTTCAGTTTTGATGAATTACAAGTTCTCTTCTTTGTGCTATCTTGCTAGCCCTTAAAATCTGAGCAATTTTCACACTGACGAATATGGGTGCTCTCCAACAATTCACCAATAATTTTCGCAGCTGCTCCATCAAAAATGTGAATCATGAGTGACCAAATATGACATCACTGGTTTGAAAGATTTCTTTACCGTTCCGTACTTTCTCAAATACTGCTGGAGAAAATCAACCATTTTCTTCAAGTGTACAAGATCCGTTGTGATTAAAAGTTTTGAAGTGGCTCTTTAATTCGATTGGTTCAAAAACAATTAATTACGAGTAAAGCTAGATCGACCCCTTCTTGGTTATCTATTCATATATTTGCTTATTAAACATATAGAGATGTTAGATATGCATGCGTAAGAAAACATTAAAAATCAGCAAAACTAATTATAAACAATCAAATAAAGCACATCATATTACGTCTAACCAATGAAAACTTACTAAAAAAAGGGTAGAAAACAAAACCTTGTTAAAAGTACACTAAAAATAGATGTTATATTCTGAAAAATAAATGTGTGTGCGAATCGAAAGGGAAAAAGGAATGAACAAGGTCACTCTTCATAACTGCTGTTGCCTTGGTGGAATCTAACTTTCTAGAAATTACTGGGAGATTGTTGGATATTGAATCTTTGGAGTTTTGCCACTTACTACGAAACCAGAACATATTTTTCCAGTATTACAGTTTATTATTGATAGTGCCGCTTTAACCATAGAATATATTTATCAAATAAAATAAAAACATAACTATAATGTCAAAAAAAA